CTACAAAGTTAAAGGGGAAAAGTTATCTTTCGCTGCTGTACCTGGTAGAAATAGGAACTCCGACTATGATTTGTTATGTCATAAAATACTCTACTTACAGTTAATCCTCATCTTTTCACATACATTTTTGGTGTTTTGTACTTCCTTTTAGCAGAAATAAAATTCTTGCTGCCAAACGCATTGTTTTTTGTTGCTTTGCATTAAGCACTGAAAACATTATTTTATCCCTAAGAAATACGTTTCCCAAAATGTGTTCATTAAATAATACTTTAAAACATAAATATGCATTGTGTTGTATTTATCATCTTGCTGACATTATTTAATAATTAAATATTTAATAATTAAATCACTTTTAATTATTAAAGAATTATGCATAGTAACTATATGTATGTTGTTTCCATCGAAGAGGTATCATTATTTATTGTAATAAAACAATGCAGAAGAACATTTTTTTCCAAGTTTTCATTTAAATTCCAGCTAGTTAACATACAGTCCAATGTGAGTTTCAGGTGTAGAATTTAGTGATTGAAAAACAACATTTTCTTAATAAAGCACCTCATTGTCATAGGAAATAAAAGACACGTAAACATGGTAATGTATATACAGTGTTTTTGTTAACATTGAGGTAGCTTTTATTTCTTGTGCTGTCACTTAACTGATTTCTTGTGTGTATGTTCATTTAATCATCACAAGTTTAGGAGATCGGATAAGTAGGTTATTCCATATCCCAGTTAAGAAATTGGGAGCTCAGGGAGACTGCCTCCCTGCCTAAGCTCACCCAGCTTCATAGCAGCAGAGTGGAGGAGAGCATTACATTTAGAAGAAAGAATATTCTTATATCACACCAAATGCCCCAGCTATTCCTAACCCTCCGCCACTCCCTGAAATAATCCAACCTGTGTTTCACAAGGTCGCCATTTTTCTTTAAGAATATGCAATATGTTATCATTATTAAGAAAAGTATCAGAAGTAATGATGACCATGTTATAAACAGTCGTTTCATTTTTAAGGGATAGTTATTTGTAGAACATTACTGTGGTACTTTTCCCCCAGTGGTTTCTCATTCTGATGAAGTCAAAATGAGCTACTGTGTGAAGGAGATTAGCAATATATCCGTGTTAAGAAAATTGAAATTGGGAGGGGTGGGGAGAAGATCGCAGTGCGCCCTTTGAAAGTCATGCTGGAGCACTAAAGAGCTCGGCATCAGGGAAATCCAAATCATAACCTCAATGAGATACCACCTCACACCAGTCAGAATGGCTAAAATTAACAAGTCAGGAAATGACAGATGTTGGCGGGGATATGGAGAAAGGGGAACCCTCCTACACTGTTGGTGGGAATGCAAGCTGGTGCAACCACTCTGGAAAACAGTATGGAGGTTCCTCAAACAGATGAAAATAGAGCTACCCTATGATCCAGCAATTGCACTACTGGGTATTTACCCCAAAGATACAAATGTAGGGATCCGAAGGGGTACGTGCACCCCAATGTTTATAGCAGCAATGCCCACAATAGCCAAACTGTGGAAAGAGCCAAGATGTCCATCGACAGATGAATGGATCAAGAAGAGGTGGTATATATACACAATGGAATATTATGCAGCCATCAAAAGGAATGAGATCTTGCCATTTGCAACGACGTGGATGGAACTGGAGGGTGTTATGCTGAGTGAAATAAGTCAATCAGAGAAAGACATGTATCACATGACCTCACTGATATGAGGAATTCTTAATCTCAGGAAACAAACTGAGTGTTACTGGAGTGGTTGGGGGTGGGAGGGATGGGGTGGCTGGGTGATAGACATTGGGGAGGGTATGTGCTACGGTGAGCGCTGTGAATTGTGCAAGACTGTTGAATCACAGATCTGTACTTCTGAAACAAATAATGCAATATATGTTAAGAAAAAAGAAGAAGAAGAAGATAGCAGGAGGGGAAGAATGAAGGGGAGTAAGTCAGAGGGGGAGACGAACCATGAGAGACGATGGACTCTGAAAACAAACTGAGGTTCTAGAGGGGAGGGTGGTGGGGGGATGGGTTAGCCTGGTGATGGGTATTAAAGAGGGCACGTTCTGCGTGGAGCACTGGGTGTTATGCACAAACAATGAATCATGGAACACTACATCAAAAACTAGTGATGTAATGTATGGTGATTAACATAACAATAAAAAAATTAAAAAAAAAAAAGTCCACCTGAGTGCTGTGTACCCACCTGTAGGCTATAATCAGCTTTGCGTTATCGTCCCCTGTGAATCTGAGAGCAAGCTTAATAGTGTCAAAAATTATCACGTAGAAAATTGATAGGCTATATGTAATTTTCATTTTCCATAGACGCACATTAACTCTGGTAAGTACAAAAGATAAATCTAATGTTACCTTTCTTATTGCCTTACGCTACACTCACCAATTTTGTAGCAAACTTAGCAAACTTATTGTAGTATTTACTTTCTTGAATGGCTACTATATAAACCTTTTCCTGAAATACTCTCTGAAGCAAATTTATCACTTTGCTACTTTCCTCATGGATGCATTCAATCGCTCAGAAATGTTTATTTTACATATGTGTACACATATTTCAACATTTTGAGCCTTGTGTTTTAGCATTGATGATAATATTTCACTTATACATGTTTGCAGATAAAGGAACATGCTTTTCCCTATAATTTACTGCAGTATTTAGTTAATATATTATGTTGAATATTAATGATGATATTTATTTGGTTATGAATGCTAAAGCTTTATTAAGATTTTAGTAAAAATATTTGGTACTTATTCCCGTGCAATAATGAATACTGGGCACAAATGCAATACTGTTTGATTTCTATAAGGTAAAAAAAGAAAAAAAAAAACCTTTTTTCTTTAGCATAGTTGACACAGATGACTTTTTTCATTAAAAAACAAATATTAGAGGAAAATCTTAGTGCAATATATTGCTCATATTCTAAGTCGTTTTTCCCATCTTTTCTTTCTATTGCTATGAAACCAGGATACCCTTGAATCAGGTAACAATAAACACATTTTAAGAATAAAAATGAAGAAAAGGTAATACCACAAAATCCTGTGTGAAAGTTGGATGCAGTTTTCTATTCAGATTTTACTCTCGGAGTTATTAGGAGTTTGGAATTTAACTGAGTACAAATTGGTAAGTACAATTATTAATACAATAATATCACAATATATCAATAAGTGCACATTTTTGAGATTTTTTTTTTTACATTCAGTAGATTTGGCATTTAAACTAATATGTACACTCGTGTTCATTTTCAGAGTTGTTTAGACAATGAAATTTGAGAGAATATTGAAATAAAAACACCATTGTTGTTTTGTGTATGCACATACAAACACACCTGTATCTCTTAATGGAATTATATGTATTTTCAAACGTAAATGGATATATTGATAAATATGTATGACAGTGAGACTATTAAGGGTACCATTGCTTTCAAGGAGATATTTCGATTTTTGAATTTGAACAAGTACACTAGCGTTATTTGCCGTGTGAGCTAAATGCACGAGAGTTTGTCTTAGGAGCAAGTTTCTGTCTGAGTTGAAATTGTAACTAAGTTCATTTGTGGGGTTTTTTTGGGGGGGGATTAATCAAAGAAGAACATGGTGTTACTTGGAAATTTGAATGTGTATTTTCATTTGAATCAGTAAGTACACCATTGTAATTTGGAATTTGAACAATCCGTGTTATCAGTACTTGTTTTAGGAGGTGTTTAGTTTTTAAATTTTGAACAAATAAAAATAACGACTTTCTATAGAATGTTGAGTCATAAGCGTACCAGTATTTGTAATCATAGTTATTTGGATCTTAGAAGTTGATTTATAATTTGAATTCATGAGTAAAGCAGCGTTATTTGGGATTAGAATTTTTAGGTAATTGATTGTTACTTGAAAATTTGAATAAGCGCATCAGAGTTATTTGGGATTTGAATTAATAAGTGCGACCGTTCTTCTTAAGAGATATTTGAATATTGGAATTTTATTTAAAGTATGAGCTAATAAGTAAAGCAGTGTTATTTGGAATTGGAATTAATATACGTAACGATCCTACTTACAGTCTTATTTATATTTTTGAATTTTAATTTGGAATTCAGCTGCTGAATGTGTTATTTAGAAAGGAGTATTTGCTTTTTATTCAAATGGAATTTAGATCAGTAAGTATATCAATGTTATTTTAATCTGAGCCAGCAAGGGCACAAATATGTGTTCTTGGATTTATTTGAATTATCAAATTTGAATTGAAATCTGAGCTAATAATGAATCCCCGTGATTTACACTTAGAGCTAATACGTGTCTTGAGTACTTGCTATGGGCGTTATTTGCATTTTGAAACTTCAACTGGAAATTTCCATGGGAAATTCCAGTCTGTTACCTGGTATTTAAAATTTACATTATAATTGAGTCACTAAAGAGAGCAGAGTCATTTGTAATTAATGTGAATAACAACAAATCTCGGGTTATTCGACTTTAGAATATGAGTTTAAATTCCAAGTAAATGTGTACTATTGTTAATTGGAATTTAAAGAAACACTTGGCGTCTGGCCCTGCTGGTTATTAAATTTATTTGACTTTTAAAATTGTTATTGGAATTAGAGCGAGTAAGAAAATGAAGTCATTTGGAATTTCAGCTAATATGTGCACTGGTGTTTTTGTTTTTATTTTTTCATTTGGGAAATTTGAATTAGAATTTGAATAAATAGAGCGCAGTCCTTTTTAATTTTAGCTAATGAATGTACTAGTACATTTTAATCAAAATTAGTAAGCCACTGTTATTTTGAATTTGATCTAACAAGTTAACTAATGTTATCTGAAATTTGAATATATACATTTTATATAAGTGTATGTATATATATGCATGTGCATGTGTTATTTGGAATTTGAATAAGTGGAATGATTGCTTGTTACTGGAAAAGTTCATATATTGGAATTTTATTTTTTTATTTTTATTTTATTTTTTTTTCCAATCCTAATAGTTCTTTATTTTCTTTAACATATTTACATGGGTTGATAATTTGCAATAGGTGTCATCATGAGAATAACCAAAATTAGATTAAACATGACAAAAGAGAGACAAAGTGTTTCACACCCTTGAGTGACACCAAGGCAAGAATGGGAGAAAAGCATTGCAAAAAGAGACTACTGAAATGCTGCTTATATATTCTTGCAGTAAAACCAGCAATGCATCCATCTTAAGAGTTATCATCTCACTTCCAATTTCTTTCCCTCAAGAACAATTTGAATCTCTTTGGCATCCAAAGTCTCATAGGTTAGTAAAGCTTCTGCTAGATTCTTATGCTCTTTTGCATGAGTCTTCAAGATATGTTTCGCTCGTTCATATGAGTCCCTTCAAAGGATTCTCATTTCTTGTTCAATAGCAGATTGAGTTTCTGGACTCAGTTTCCCAGTATCACTGTAGGTCATAACTCCAAGCTTTTCACTCATTCCAAATTTGGTAACCATCCGCTTTGCTATTTTAGTTGCATTATCAAAATCACTGGAAGCACCTGTTGTGATATGGTCAGTTCCAAATATAAGCTCCTCAGCTACTGTTCCTCCCATACTAACATCCATCTGCGCAAGCAACTGAGCTCTAGTTTCATTCCATCTGTCATTCTCAGGCGACAGGGACACATGTCCAAGTGTTGGCCCTCGTGGCATGATTGTAGCTTTGTTGATAGGCATTGCATCTTTAGTGTAATATGCAATGATAGCATGACCAGATTCATGATATGCTGTGATGGTTTTGTTTTTGTTATCAATTTCCACGCTTCTACGTTCAGGTCCCATTAGAATTTTATCTTTGGAAAACTCTAGTTCCTTCATGGTAACCATTTCTTTTCCATCAACATCTGCCTTTAATGCAGCCTGGTTCACAGGATTCTCCAACTCTGCTCCAGAAAAGCCAACAGTACCTCGAGCTATAATTTCTGGATCAACAGACTGATCAAACTTTATTTTATTGAGATACCATTTCAAAATTTCTGTTCGACCTTTTACATCTGGTCTTGGAACTGTAACCTGCATGTCAAAACGACCAGGACGTATTAAGGCATTATCTAATGCCTCTGGGAAGTTTGTGGCTCCTATTATGATAACTCCTTCATTGGGTTTAAAACCATCCATTTCAGCAAGAAGTTGATTTATAGTCTGCCTTGAATATGGGTGCGTTGGAGACTCAATTCGCTTCCCTCCGACAGAATCTAATTCATCAATAAATATAACACAGGGAGCATTTGCTTTTGCTTCCCTAAATAGATTTCTGATACGGCTGGCTCCCACACCCACAAACATTTCATCAAATTCTGATCCAGAAGCATAATAAAAAGGAACATCCTCTTCTCCAGCCACAGCTCGAGCAAGAAGTGTCTTCCCTGTCCCTGGTGGTCCAACTAAAAGTATTCCTTTTGGAAGTTTACCTCCAAGCACAGTAAATTTTTGTGGATTTTTCAAGAATTCAACAACCTCCTGTAATTCTTGTTTAGCTTCCTCCACTCCTTTAACATGTTCAAAGGTGACATTTTTCATCTGGACAGGATCTACTGCAGAATCAAGCCCCGTTGTTGTCCGGAAGCGGACAGATAAAAATGGATTTTTTAAGAGTCCATAAATGCCAAATAGCAGCAGAACGAAGAGAATCAGACGAGTTCGTCTCAGAGAATCATTGGTTTTTTGCGTTAGTGCTTGAGCTTTCAGAAAACCCTCTGCAAAACCAGTTTTAAATGCATCTTGGTGAGCTTCGGGTATATTTTTGGTTTTCATGAGTTTGTCCAAACTCTCAACATCTGATCCTCTGTCCCGCAAAAGGAACCCCTTTACAAATGATGGTGTTATATGCTGCGTCTCTGTCAATCTTTCAGAGGTGGACTGTAAACGTCGAGTTCTTGATTTCAAAGTTTTAAAACCCCGAGACTGTATGAAAACTGGCCAGCACTGAAGATCTGAACAAATACTTTTAAGAGTTCTTGAATGTTGTCTGTACAAGCAAGAGGAACGTAACGTACTAAATATATCTAAGTAACCATATTTATTTTCAAAGAAGGACTGTGCAGAGACATGAGATGTATGCCAATGGGAAGAAATGCTCTTGCCTTTACAAAATCCAGGAAGTAAACTGTCTACCAGTTGATCAATCTGTCCAATTTTTAATTCGGATAATCCAAGGTCTCTTAAATTAAGTACAGGCTCATTGCCAGTAGCCTCACGGTCAGGAACGACATCTCGATGGTGGTTTTGTGAAGCTGACACACTGACAGAAATAGATGTGTTTTTTGGCGAATGGAAGGCATTGATGAGGTGACTCAGAGGAACCGTAACCTGGGGCTGCACCGTACTCAACAGGGAAAACATCTGCGGGCCCTCAGCGACCTCACCCGCCTGCCGAGAGTGCCCCCTCTGTCCACGGCTCGGCGGGGAGGTGCTGAGCCCTTCTTTCCTTTTCTTTTCCCCTCTCCCCTTTGCTCTTACTCTTCCTAGAAACAGAAAATCCATATATTGGAATTTTAAATGAAATTTGAACTGATAATTATTGCAGTGTTATTTGGTATTGGGAGGAAAGTGTACCTGTCCTTGTTATGGGTGTCACTTGGATCTGGGAATTTATTTTTTGCGTTTTTATTTTTTGGATTCCTCAATTGGGGATTTTACATTGAATTTGAGTTGAGGCCAGTGTTAAGAAGAATTTAAACAACAAAGTTTATCAGCAGATTTCTGGAATTTGGAATTCTAACTGAATATTAAACTAAAAACTAGAGCATATGATACTAACTACACCAGTGTTACTTTAAATATTTGTTATTAAGTTCACCAGTAGTTGTCATCCTTTTACTTTTTATTTTTTTATTTTTATGTTTTTGGAATCTTAATCAGAACTTAATTAGACTCATGTTATTTGCAATTAGAACGGATACAATTTACCAGTGCTCGTTATTACTATGATTTGGATTTTGGATAGTAAATTGAAACTTGAATTCATAAGAGCGCCAGTGTTATTTACAACTTGAACCAATAATTATGCCATTGCTTGGAATCTGAGATATTTGGATATTCCAATTGGAATATGAACTAATAAGCACGGCAGGGCTAATGGAAATTTGAACCTTGTATGTGTACCGAGGCTTATAATCAGATTTATTTACACTTTGAAATTGAAATGGCGTTTTAGCTATAAGTGCACCTGAGCTTGTTTTCAAAGTTACCTACATGTCCACATATGATCTAATATGCACATCAGCGGTCTTTGAACTTTGAAGTAGTAAGTGTATTAAAGCTCGTTATCAGTTTTATTTGCATTTTGGAATTGGATTGAGGTAGGGATTAATAAGTAAATCAGCCTGACTTGGAATTGGACCCGATAAATCAACTTGTCATTTGGGATTGAAATTGGAATGTGTATGCACGTATTATTTGAAATTTAGATGAATAACTCTACCAGTACTTGTAATGCAGATACTTAGGTGTTGGAGTTGGAATTCAAATGTGAACTATTGGAGAGAGAGAATGAATGAGTGGTGGGGAGGGGCAGAGAGAGAGGGAGAAGCGGGCTCCCCACTGAGCAGGGAGCCCAACACAGGCTCAATCCAGGGACTCCAGGATCATGACCTGAGCCAAAGGCAGACGCGTAACTGACTGAGCCACTCAGGCGCCCCTAGAATTGGAAGATCAATGTGAACTATTAAATGCATGGGTGCTACTTGGAATTTGAACACAAGGTCACAGATTGTTATCACAGTTCTTTTAGTAACAATGTCGATGCATCATTCCAACAGCATTATTTGAAATTCCAAGTACTAAGTGTGCCAATGCTGGTTTTCAGTTCCGTTTACATTTTAGAATTTGATTTTAAATAAGTAAGAACTAATATGTACACCACCGATTGTGACAGGAGATACTGAAATACTGGATACGGAACTGGAATTTGAACATAACTGTACATCAGCGTTATTTTGAATTTGAGCTAACAAGTGTGACGTGTGTGTTATCACGGCTATTAGATTTTTCGAATTTTATTTGAAATAAGACCTAATAACTACACCAGTGTTATTTGAAACTAGAACTAATAATAGTTCCAGCGCTTGGTACAAATGCAATTTATATTTCAGAATTTCAATTGCAAGTTAAATGAATAAAAGCACAGATCCAATCTGCAATTTAAGCTAATAAATACATTAGTGTTTGTTAGAGACATATTAATATAGGATTGAAACTAGGATCAGAAAATAAATTAATAAGTACAGCAGTGTTATTGGAATTCAAATAATAGGAGTACCGGTATTTATTCTATTATTTGGATTCTGAAATTTGAAGTAGAATTTGAAATAATAAATACACTAGTGTTATTTGCAATGTTTAGTTAGCATTACAGTTTGATCCAGTAAGTACCATGGTCTTATTTAGAATCTGAGTGAATAGATGTATTGGTGCTTGCTAATTGGGTTTTTCAGATTTTGAAATTTGAATAGAAATATGAAGTATTCTGAATTTACTTGAAAAGTGAACAGATAAATCCACAAATCCTGACTTTTTTAGATATATTTGTCATACGGACTTTGATTTGGAATTGTGATTATATGTGCCTAATGTTATTGGGAGTCTGAATGAAAAGTGCACTTGTGGATGTTATGGGGGAGTTCTCATTTCATGTGAGAATTCCCTAGTGCACTGGCTGCTTATAGAATTTTTACCTACTCCAATTAAGCTCATTTCTTTATAGCATCAACTCTCCCAGACCATCCATCCAGCTGTTTCTATCAACTGGCTTCTGTAGGACTGATAGGTGTCTAAACAGTGACGTCATATTACAAATCAATTTCAAGTCTTGCCAAAAACAAAACAAAACAAACAAACAAAAAACCCAGGATTTTATTAAGACTTTCAAAGTGATCCTAGTTAATTATTTGAATCTCGTGCAAAAATCGTCAACCAACAAGAAACCTGGGAGCTCAATGACCAATTAATAATAGGAAATAAGGATGTGATCTAATGGGACATTCAAATAGAAAGATTTGAATCTCGAAGGATTAAGACTCTCAGAAGAGAATGAACAGCCAGTTTTCACTCTGTGTTTTTACCAGACTCTTACACTGCTGTGCAAATTCAAACATATATTGATATGAGTTTCATCATTCTAGCTAACGTTGACCCCATTTGAAACTACCCACAACACAATCCTCATGTAACCATGTAGAGGCCATTAACATGACTTAACCGATGCCAAGTATAAGGAAAAACACATTTGTTTTCACACATTCTTTTAGTTTTGTGGAATACCTCTCAATTTTTAAAAATTTTACTTGGGGATAGTAGGTTAACATTCTCAAAGGGTGCGTTTTGAGTGGTCTTTTATGGTCACAAATGATACAACGGTAACAGGATCATGTGTACTAGATTCTTTCAACATTCTCCAGGTAGCACTGAGAAAAATAATAAAAAAAAAAATCACTGGCGAATAGCAAGGGGTAGAATGTGTAGTGATGGTCATCAAACAGTAACTCTCCAGTCCTGTATGTTACATGAGAAACATAACAATAAAAGACATCCAAAGAATATCTCATTTTGCTTCTTTCACGGGATGTAGGTCCATGCAAATAGCAATTAACAATTTGATATGAATGTTAACGTGGACACATGATATGTCACGAGTTGCACACTACACGCCATCTATCAAAAACAATACTCAAGATACTCTACTGGGACGAAGAATCCAGAGCATGTGTTTTTGCAAACCTTTGTCTACCCAGTTAATACATGTCCCCAGATGCTAGCAAACAGCTCACTCGGGGATGTGGTATCACTAAAAACACCAGACTTGGTTCACTCTATAAGTAGACTATTCACATGTATCTAGACTGAATTTCAAAAGCTGAAAATGCATTCAGATAAATATCTGGGAAATATTGTGTATCACCAAACCCCAAATTTATTTTCCATAAATCCTATATTTTTGGCTTTCTCAAATCTATATATAGCACCTTTACTTTAAACATAGATTGTGGAAGGATAGTCATAGTTCTGTTTTACATTCTCTCTCCCTGAGAAGTCATTTATGGATAGATTAATTTATTTAACACGTTTTAAGAAAAACAACAAGGAAGACACAGTTGCTCATGTCACAAAAGGCAAGTCATGCACTTGACAATCTTGCTAACGACGGTTGTCACCTAAAATCTTAACAATTGAACTTTCTTATCAGCCCGAGAATCCATAGTGCATCACAGAAGGAAACTACACCAAAGCAACAAAACATATTGAATCATTTCTTGTAGCAATCATAATGATGTTCGAATACAAAAAAAAAAATATTAAATGCAACCAAAAGGATCAATAGTCACATTTACATATAAATTATCTTCTATCTCCTTTTTCCAACCTTTTTTCTCCCCTGTGGTTTATCTGATCAAATTGATGATTTTACTTACTAAACATCTATTGGGCATCTAACAGGTGTCAGATACTGAGCTAACACAGTGGGAAATCGAGATAGGTCCAAGATACCACTTGCCCCAAATGAGACCATCGTCATCTACTGGGACATAAAATCATGGAGACCTGCAATCCCCACGGATTGATTTCTCTACCTCGGTGTGTATATGGAAACATTGCTGAGAAGCTCCAAGTTTGGGCTAAATATGTGTGACGAAGGCACGGGGAAGTGGAAAGTGAGCCAAGAAAGGCCAAGATTATGACAGCAGAAAGTAAGTCGATTTTCTCCTTCAGTTGGGGGCAATTGTTTGCGAAATTGCATTTAGTCCCTGTCTGTGAAACTCAGCCCTCAGAGATGTGACCATACCCTTCCTTTACTGGAAGCATGGCGAAAAATCACGATTTAGATAAATAGTATCCCCTTAAAGCTGCAGACGTGTGCGGGATACATTTAATGCATGTGTATTTCTACAACTTTGTATCTTTATAGTATTAACCACAGAAGTAAAAACAACCTCAGGTTCTGGTAAGAAAACACTTTGGGAGAGTCAAGAAATGATTAAAATGAGGCTGCACGTTTTCATCATTCGCTCTCCCTTTGGCTGACTTGGAAAATTGGCTGGAGGAAAACACTCATTTCGTTGGATTGAAATTGAGTAAGTGTGAAAAAATAATCACAGTTTGCTGATTTTACCGATTTTGAGAGAGCGGGAACATGCCGATGTAAGTAAAATAATAATACCCAATAAGTCTTAGTGTCTGCTCTGGACTTTAAACCACGCCAGGTTTTGATCAGTCTCCATGGGAGAAGTCTAGTAATGATGGAACCCACATTTTCAAACCAGATGAGAGACCTTTAACTCACCAAGATAGCAATTAAGTTACTCATCCTGAGCAAAGTTACTTCTGTGGGATTCCAAGATCCACGCCCCTTGCCAGCTTTAGAAATGAGAACATACAAAATTTCAAAGAGAGCAAGGTAAGGGAGTACTTTAAGATCTATTAGTATTTAAGATCCCAACAGTTTGCTTTGTTTGAAATCAGGGCGTAGAGGATGTTTT